CGCCGGAGACATTGGGTTCTGAAGGAGATCCGAACTCTTGAGAAGACCACACACCTGTTGTTAAGGAAGAACCCCCTTCTGCCGCCTGGCAAGATAAATATGTGTTAAATTCACTCGTGGTGTGGACTTCAGTTGGCAAGCTCAGGCCATGTTGGCCCTACAAGAGGCAGCAGAAGCGTTTCTAGTTCATCTCTTTGAGGATGCCTATCTCCTCTCCTTACATGCCAGCCGCGTCACTCTCTTCCCAAAGGATGTGCCACTGGCCAGGAGGATCCGAGGCATTCAGGAAGGGCTCGGCTGAGCTCCTGCCGCCCGTGACTCTGGATGATACCAGGGAATCTGCCCGTAACCAGGACCAGATCCTGTACAAGGTGCTGCCTGGACTTGCTGTCTCTGAGCAGAGTGTGCGTGTTGCTTTTGTAATTAGTATTTTTTAAGAAGACTGCATGGCTTTCCTCTGTAACAGAAGTAATATATGACAGAATCAACACATTCCGAAAGTCCTGAGAATAATTTTCAGATGAGGAGACTCCAAGTTTGACTTCACTTTGCAAATTATTCATACGACTGATGATTTGGAAGACATCAGATTTTCTAGGTTATGGGAGAAAAGGATATTTACTGATTATTTTAGATCTTTCTGTACCATTTAAATTTTTTACCATATGTATATTTACTTCTATTTAAAACATAAGGGAAAAAATAAGAGACAACCACTTCAATCAGTTGCATGGAAGAGCCTGGCGCCTCCAGCATACAAATCTCTGTCCTTCAGATTGACTTCATCATTAGTGGCAGCAGCAAGTTCCTGTGTGGATTGTGCGTGTCGACAGATTATATAGCTTTTCAAAAACTCAATTGGGATGAAAATAGGAAATCGTTAAGGTTTGATGTTCTGGCTCCTTCTGGTAAATTCCTATCAAAATCACTCAGAGGGCTTCCCTGGTGGCACAGTGGTTGAGAGTCCGCCTGCCGATACAGGGGATACGGGTTCGTGCCCCGGTCCGGGAAGATCCCACATGCTGCGGAGCGGCTGGGCCCGTGAACCACGGCCGCTGAGCCTGCGCATCCGGAGCCTGTGCTCCGCAACGGGAGAGGCCACAACAGTGAGAGGCCCGCGTACCGCAAAAAAAAAAAAATCACTCATAAATTCTAGCTTGTAGAATTTATTTTATTCTTATTTGCAAATCACAGACGATGTATCATAATTTATACTTCAGAATTTTTCATTCCAGGACTTTTAAGAGCCTTTTCAATGTTTTTACAGGTATTTTTTATAACTTCCTTGTGAAGAGATAATAAAAATAATTCTTTAATGAGAAAAAGTTAAAGCAAAGTTATTATTATACAGAGATTATACTGTGTTCTTTGTGTGTTAACGTTAAGTTCTTCATTTGGACACTTTGCCAACAGCCACAATTTAAATGAGAGAATTCAGGGATGTGTTTTTGTCTCCAGTTGAGTAGAGTATGAGCAGATAAAAACCTTGCCCATCTCTTGTAACTGAAAGCAGTTTAAGAGATTTCCAGAGAAATGGGAAGTGCCACCCGAAGACTTTTAGATATTGTGTGTGGTGAAAATGATTAGTAAGGGTGGATACTAATAATGATGTGTCAGCCAACTGAATTGAGACAAACTAAAGGGAAAAGGACCAAGTTCTGTTGTTTGATAAATCTTAACCCTTTGGAAAAAACTTTTCCTGTTGGACATCAACTCAATTTTATGTAGACATTGGAATAAAGCTTATCTATCTATGACTATAAAAAAATTCTTTTTCTTGTTGTTGATTTTTAAGAGTTCTTTGTGTATTTTGGATAATAGTCCTTTAATCAGAGGTGTCTTGTAAATATCTTCTTCCAGCCTGTGGCTTGTCTTCTCATTCTCTTGAGGGTTGAATATTTTTTATGATTCCATTTTATCTCCTTTCTTGGATTATTAGGTATAACTCCTGGATGTGTTATTTTGATGGTTCCTTTCATCAAAGGAATTCAAGTAATTTATTCAAGTAATATTATTCAAGTAATATTATACCACCCCACAGATAGCATAAATCCTTACAACTATACATCTCCATTTCTCTCCTCCTGGTCTGTGTGCTACTGTTGTCATACACTTTACTTCTAACATAGGTTATAGACCTCAAAATACATTATTACTGTTTTTGCTTTAAAAAGTTAATTATGTTTTAAAGAGATTTAAATAATAAGAAAAGTCTTTATATTTATCCACATAGTTACCATTTTAAGTACTCGTCATTCCTTTGTGTAGACCCAGGTTTCCATCTGGTATCATCTTCTGCTTGAAGGACTTCTTTTACATTTATATTTCTTGTCTGCAGATAATGAATTCTTTCATCTCTTGTATGTCATAAAAAGTCCTCATTTCATATTTGTTTTTAAGGATACTTTTGTTGGGTAAAGAATTCTAGGTTGACAGGTTTTTGGTTTTTTTCAGTACTATAAAGATGTTATTCCATTTTCTTCTAGCGTATACGGTTTCTGATGAGAAACTTGCTGTAATCCTTATCTTTGTTTCCTTGTATTACATAACAAGGTGTGTTTTTTTTGGTCTCTGTTTGTTTTTAAGATTTCTTTTTACCACTGGTTCTAACCAATTTAATTATGATGTGCCTTGGTGTAGTTTTCTTTGCTTCTTAGGCTTGGAGTTTGTTGAGATTCTTGGATCTGTACGATTAATAGATTTCATCAAATTTGGAAAAATTTCAGCCATTATTTCTTCAAATATATTTCTGCCTCTGCTGCTTCTTCAGATTCTCTAATTATACATGTATTAGCCTATGTGAAGTTGTCCTATAACTCAAAGATGCTCAATGGTCTATTATTATTTTAACCTCTGTGTTTAATTTTTTTAATTTATTTGTTTATTTATTTTTGGCTGTGTTGGGTCTTCGTTGCTGCGCGCAGGCTTTCCCAAGTTGCGGTGAGCAGGGTCTACTCTTTGTTGTGGTGTGCAGGCTTCCCATTGAAGTGGCTTCACTTGTTGCAGAACATGGGCTCTAGGCACGTGGGCTTCAGTAGTTGTGGCATGCAGGCTCAGTAGTTGTGGCTCACGGGCCACACAGGGATCGAACCCATGTTCCCTGCATTGGCAGGTGGATTCTTAACCACTGAGCCACCAGGGAAGCCCGCTCTGTGTTTAATTTCAGATAGTTTCTATTGCTATGTGTTTTTCCTTAAGTGTCTAATGTGCTATTGATACTATTCGGTGTAACCAGTATAATTTTCACCTCAGAGACATTAGTTTTCCCCTTAAAGTTTGTTTCTTTTTTATACCTTCCACATCTCTAACGAATATGTTCAATCTTTCCTCTAGTCTCCTGAACATATGGAATACAGTTATAAGAATAACTGTTTTTTGTCTACTAATTTTATCTTCCATGTCAGTTCTGGATCAGTTTGGATTGATTGATTGATCAATTGATTGAGTTTTCTCTTCATTGTGGGTTGTATTTTCCTGCTTCTTAGCATGTCTGCTATTTTTTTTATTAGATTCAAGGCAGTATGAATTTACCTTGGTGGGTGCTAGATATTTTTGTATTCCTATAAATATTCTTGAACTTTGTTCTGAGATGCCACTGAATTACTTGGAAACCACCTGATCCTTTTAGGTCTTGCTTCTGCTTTTGAGCTTTGTTAGGCAGAACCAAGGAGTGTTTATTGTAGGTGTAATTTTTTTTCATTTCTGAGGCAAGACTATTCCTAGTATTTTACCTGATGCTCCATAAATTATGAGACTTTGCTCTCTGGTTGATGGAAATAGGCACTATTCCCAGCCCTGTGTAAGCTCTGCCTATTGTCCCCTGTAATCCTTCTGAGTGGTTCTTTACCTGGACAGTTTCTTCACATGAATGAGCTGATCAGTACTCAACTGAATACTAGAGAGAGGAGCCTCTGCAGATCTCCAGAATTCTCTCTCTGTGCAGCTCTCTCTTCTCTGGTACTCTGCCCTGAAAGCTTAAGCTGCCTTAGCATCCCTGGATTCCTAGCTTCATCTATTCAACTCAGGGACACCATGAGGCTCTGCCTGGATTCCTTCTCCCTGTTCCACAGTCTCTGTACTTTCTCTAAGCAGTGTGCAATGGCATTCATAGAGCTCACTTCGTTGTTTTCCATCTCTCAGGAATGACTATCCCATCCATTGTCTGAGGCCCAATGTCTCGAGAACCATTGTTTCATATGTTGGTTTTTTTTTTTGTTATTGTCCAGATTTTTGGTTATTTCAGGCAGGAGGGTAAATCTGGTCCCTGTTACTCTATCTTGGCCAGAAGCCGCTGTATAATCATTTCCCTCTTAACCTCTTTTATTTACTCATCTTATACTTTAATTCCAGAAAAGTCAATCCTGCTGATGGTTGCCAAGAGAGCCAGAAAAGTGGGCTTCAGCTGAAACACTACTACTACCTACACCCAGAATCTGGAAATACATAAAATTTCCCAGCTGTGATTTCTCTTCACTCATTAGAGGAGCCTATAACTATCTGACCTCCATGAGGGCAGAGACCCCAACTAATGCAACTCTGTATCTCCAGCATCCAAAAAGGTAAATAGATAAAAGTATGTTTTTCATTAGGCAAAACTAAACATAGGAATTCCATCATATCATCATCCTCATAAAAGTAGCTATGTGCTTAGCAGTTTACTTACATTATCTTATTCAAACCTCACAACGATCATTTTAGGTGTGCATCATTCTTATTTTACTGATAAAGAAAGTGAGACTTGGAATAAATAGCTTCTATAATAATACCATGCAACTAGTTTGTGGCAGAAATGGAATTCAAGTGACATCTCTAACCATGCTCTTAACCTCTATGTAATAACATGTTCTATAAAGTTTTTCTAAACCACAGGCTTCCTTGCTAAAAGGCTAACCTCAGATTGTGCGGTCTAAAGTACTACACCTACCCATTGCGTACTCAGGGTTCTCATACATCAATATGGAAGATTTCCACCAAAGTACCTATTATTACTTTACAGTTACCTGCTTCACCTCACGTGAGCAGTGGTGAAGAAATCGGTTCTGGGTGATCTCATGAAATGATTTATGCAGCTTGGTCCCAAATTCCTGTGTGTCAGCTGCCTAAAATGGGCCAGAGACAGAATATGTTGAGTTCCAGTACTGGCAACCAAAGGGTAAGTACCCACAGGAAGTTTACGTGGGGAGAGATCGAGACTAATAGAAAGGCAAACCACTGACATCCTTCATGTTGTGTTAGAAGTTTCCTTAGTTCTTGTGGACACAGGATAAGTAGAAAGAAGGTCTGGGATACTTCACATGAGACAGGTAGTTGTGGCTCCCATATATCTTCCAATTTCTGTTACCTAAGCAAGATCTTTCAAACAAGGTCTTTGTTCTCCTATCTCCATAGGAGATAAATATCCCAGAGATTCATCTGTTCGTGAGGAGGTTATATAAACTGCTCTCCTTTAAAACAAGTTCCAAGAGAGCAGAGGTTCTACTGAACAACTAAGGTTGATATAGGAACTTTTCCCCAGATAAATCTTTCAGGGAGGAAAGGAACAGTAATTTAGTTTGCATCCATTAAGAAATGGGTAACAGCCTCTACTTTTTAGTATAGAATTGTATTGATAGGATATTAGAGTTAAAAGGGGCCAGAGTAATCACCTAATACAACACACTCATTTCATTTCATTTTATTTTTATGTATGTATGTATGTATGTATGTCATGAAGGAAAGTGCAGTGTTTATTGTAAGGCACCATACAAGGAGTCCAGGGTAGCTAATGCTCCAAAAAACCTGAACTCCCTGATGGGTTTCAGGGGGGTATTTTTAAAGGCCAGGTGAAGGAGGGAGTCGCAGGTTATGTGATCAGCTCATGCACAATTCTCTGATTGGTGGATGGTAAGGTAACAGGGTGGTGTCACAGGAGTTAACTTTATCAGTCTTCGGGCTCCAGTAGGTCTGGGGGCTACTGCTCATGGTCATCAAGTAGTTAGAATCCTCCATTCGGTGAGGGTTTTTAAAACATATAAAACAACTCAGGAAATGTGCATCATATACTTTTATCTAGGTACCTCAGAGAGGAGCTAAAGCAGAGGGCATGGGTGGAGGGGTCTTCCCCTATAGGAAAGGCACCATAGGCTCCTGCTCAGTTACAGTTTCATGCAGCTTTCCATAATTCTATTTAGAACAAAATACATATGCATGCTCGAGCAATGAAATATAAATTGCATAATTTCAGTAATGCTACATACCACTTAAATGCTCTTATATTTGCATTTAAAACTGGCACCACACAGAATGAAAATGAATGATAAAATTTATACAAATAATGTAAAATTTTAATTTTTCTTTACTTAGAACATTAACTAGCAAATAAAAAACACCAGACAAGTCAAATGAAACTGCAGAAGAAATTTAAAAGCTTTATACTTTACTATCTTTACTGCTTCCCCCCTTTTTTGCATTTTTCAAGGGCCCCCAAAATTGTGGCGCTACCCCTGACTATAAAGGAGCAGCCCTGGGGAACTTGGGGATGAACACACTAATTTTATACATGAGACAACTGAAATTCAAAAAGGAGAAGTGACCCACCCAAGATCTCATAGCCAGGTAGTATGAAAGTTAGGGCTGACTTTCACTGTGCTACCCACGTGACCCAGAAAGTTGAAGCTGTGAGAAGATGCACTAGATTATAAAGGTGTTATACATTTTGACCCATTACCATTTATAGAAATTTATTCTAGGAAATAATTCAAAAGAAGCAAGCAATCACATATAGGTATTAACTGAAGCACTACTGGTTGGCAGAAAAAATGTAAACAACTTAAATGTCTGTCATTAGGGGAATGGTTTATTAAATTAGATTAAACTAATACAGTTGAATATTGGTTAACCAATACAAATTTTAAGACTGTTGAAATAGGGGAAAAGGTCAAATTATATATGAATATAAAATACTTTGGTTATGACTATATAGTATAATGTATATGAGATAATATGCAAAAATTAAGTGATAAAGTTTATTAGTTATTATTTTAAATTTTATGTATATTACACTATCTTTTCAAGAAAAAAAGTACAAAAAAATGAAGTGACATGGAAAGAATGTGTTACCCCCTGATAATTTGGTCAGCACACACTGGAAGGAAGGAAGGAAAAAAACCAACATTTACTAAGAATCTACCATGTGTAAAAATGGGCAGAAGACCTAAATAGACATTTCTCCAAAGAAGACATACAGATGGCCAAGAGGCACATGAAAAGCTGCTCAACATCACTAATCATTAGAGAAATGCAAATCAAAACTACAATGGGGTATCACCTCACACCAGTTAGAATGGGCATCATCAGAAAATCTACAAATGCTGGACAGGGTGTGGAGAAAAGGGAACCCTCTTGTACTGTTGGTGGGAATGTAAATTGATACAGCCACTATGGAGAACAGTATGGAGGTTCCTTAAAAAACTAAAAATAGAATTACCATATGACCCAGCAATCCCACTACTGGGCATATACCCAGAGAAAACCATAATTCAAAAAGACACATGCACCCCATTGTTCACTGCAGCACTATTTACAATAGCCAGGTCATGAAAACAACCTAAATGCCCACCAACAGACGAATGGATAAAGAAGATGTGGTACATATATACAGTGGAATACTACTCAGCAATAAAAAGGAATGAACTTGAGTCATTTGTAGAGACTGTCACACAGAGTGAGGTAAGTCAGAAAGAGAAAACAAATATCGTATATTAACACATATATGTGGAATCTAGAAAAATAGTAGAGATGAACCAGTTTGCAAGGCAGAAATAGAGACACAGATGTAGAGAACAAATGTATGGACACCAAGTGGGGGAAGCAGGGGTGGGGGGTGGGGTGGGATGAACTGGGAGATTGGGATTGACATATATACACTAATACGTATAAAATCGATAACTAATAAGAACCTGCTGTATTAAAAAAATAAATAAAATAAAATTCAAAAAAATAAAATAAAATACTAGCCATTGCATACTACTTAAGACCATTTAAGATGAAATGTATTAAAACTTAAAACTTTAGCATTAAAAAAGAATCTACAATGTGTTATGCAGGTTGACACTTAGCTCTCAACTTCATAATAACCCTGTGAGGTACTATTATTTTTTTCTAATTTGTAGATGAAACTCAGAGAAGTTCAGTACAGGCCTAAGTCCACCTAGCTAGTAAACAAATGAGCCAAAATTTGAACTCAGGCCTTTGATTCCAAACCTTGTTACACTATTCCATACTGCCAAACACATGTAATGCTTATGGTTGCTCAGTTATTTTCAGTATATTCTGTTGCCATGAGGTAACAGAACATTCTTCAGTAAGAAATTGGGAATCACTGATCTAATCCTAGCTCTGCTTATAACTACCTGTATGATCGAAAGGAAACAGAAATTTTAAATAACTCGTTTTCTCATTTATAAAATAGTATATACATCACTATCCATTCAACAAACATTTCTTAAAACACTTATGTAGAATCATAGGAGGATCAAAGTAAATAATGTTTCTAAGAGCACTGCACATATTACTAAGATAGGTAGTAGAATGTCATTAAAACCCTGGCACTTTTAAGCATCCCCAATCTCTTACTAACTTGAAGCGTCTGGAGGCATGTCTTTCGGAAGCTGCTGCTGGTGCTTCCAGTCATGATACTCATGATGGAATTCACAGCCACTGAGAGTGAGGCCTGTAGTTTCTGATGAGCCTAGAGAATAAAACAAGGAAGTGGGAGGCCGCAGTTTATAATAATACCAAACTGCTGGTTCAGAGAATCCCAAAGGGACCAAAGATTTTAGTCAGAGCAGGATTTCAAAAATTCTTCCCCCTCCACCAAAAATACTTACTGAGATCATGACATACAAAGGACACTTAGACTTATTGACATAGATACATTCAGAAAAGACACGCAGCAAGACACTGAGCAACAAAACAGATATACTTATTATTAAAAAACAAAAAGCTTTAAGCTTTCCTCTTTTAGTATAGTTGTCTTTTCCCTGAAAAGGAGGCCATATGAAGTAAGAAATGTGTTACCAAAAGTACACAGGATGGAGGGATTCAAAAAGTCAGGTAAGGGGCTTCCCTGGTGGCGCAGTGGTTGAGAATCTGCCTGCTAATGCAGGGGACACGGGTTCGAGCCCTGGTCTGGGAAGATCCCACATGCCACGGAGCAACTAGGCCCGTGAGCCACAACTACTGAGCCTGCGCGTCTGGAGCCTGTGCTCCGCAACAAGAGAGGCCACAACAGTGAGAGGCCCGCGCACCGCGATGAAGAGTGGCCGTCACTTGCCACAACTAGAGAAAGCCCTCGCACAGAAACGAAGACCCAACACAGCCAAAAATAAAAATAAATAAATTAAAAGAAGGCTCGACATTAAAAAAAAAGAAAAAAAACTCTGGCCTGAATCATGAAGAAAAAAAAAAAAGGTCAGGTAAGAAGACAAAGTGATGTTATAAAGGATTAGGAAATGGGGGAAGAATGTAAGATTTAGTGAAACAGCAGCTCTAGACACATGTGTGGGAAGGGGAAATATATAGATAAGAAAGATATACATTGATGTAAGCTTTTATATATAGGATGGATAAACAACAAAGTCCTGTATAGCACAGAGAACTATATTCAATATCATATGATAAACCATAATGAAAGAGAATATAAAAAAAAGAATGTATATATATGTATAACTGAATCACTTTGCTGTATAGCAGTAATTAACACAACATTGTAAATTGACTATACTTCAATAAAAAAAAATTTCAGGCCAAGTGCATGCATGTGCTTTCAATTTATCCAGAACTTATAGTCAATAATATAGCACTTCAATGTGTGAAAGAGGGAAGAAGACATTAATGACACTACAAATTAATATACAAAAATACTTCAAGGTGTAAAACTACCTAGAATGAATATAGTGTCCTGGGTTCAGTGTTTACTGTTCCTCTTTTATAAATGTTTTCCTGTCCCCTGGTATAATGGAAGTGGTGAAAAAAAACTAACAGGCAGGCAAAACCAAGCTCATTTTGCTTGTGAAAAAACACACTCACATCGTAAGTCACGTGTTCCAAAAAAAAAATAAAATTTGTTCACACTCAAAAAAAAAAGAAAAGAAAAGAGTATGTTATCAGTCATTTTCCCTGGTCTACTGTTCTGCCCATATTTATTCAAACTCACCTACTAGGAGATAAGACTAAGCAAGCTGGTTACAGTGACCCATCTAAGTTAAAGCCCGAGTTCCTAGGCTAGATGCAGTTTATAAGACCAGCCCAGGTGGGGACTTCCCTGGTGGCGCAGTGGTGAAGACTCCACACTCCCAATGCAGGGGGCCCAGGTTCGATCCCTGGCCAGGGAACTAGCTGCCACATGCATGCCGCAACCAAGACCCGGTGCAACCAAAAAAATAAGTAAATATTTTTAAAAAGATCAGCCCAGATGACCAAAGAGAGGAAGAAGCATTCAGGGAGGAAGGGCTCTCAGGCCCTGTCTGCCATATACTCTATCTTTTTCTTAGAGAAAGGAGAAAGGGAGTTGTGAATTTCTTATTACCTTGACAGCCTGGTGATGCTGCTCCAAGGCCTGGTCCACAGCGACCTGGATGGAATCTTGCACCACACTGTGGCTCTCCGTGAGAATGGCACTGAGATGAGTTGTGAGCAAAGTGTGGACTCCTAAGGGGAGGGAAAATGTTGGTAAGCCTTGAGTGAGAATGACCACTTCAAGACTGCTGTTCATATGCTGTGAGTCAGGGCTGAGAATGGGAAAGAGGCCACTTGAAAAAGGAAGCCACTTCTGCCTATCCAGAGATAATTACTTTTTTAGACAAAAACCCCCAGCAATTTACAAACCTACCCAATTCCCATTTACAAATGAACGAAAGCTCACTAAAATTAAAGTGAAGAATGACATTATTTTTGAAGAATCAAATGAGGGATCCTGTTTAATTCACATCAGAAACAGAAATATATGCTATATACTATAAATAATGACACTGGTGGCTCCCAAAGGAAAGGAAAAACCTCCTGGAGAGTATGTCTAACTCTACTCTGTTCCTATTTGAGCGTCACTGTTATGGTGAGCCACTGCTACTGTCAGGGTATCAATCCTTTTAGATACGCTGTGGTAGAGAAAAAGTTAAGGGCTTCCCTGGTGGCGCAGTGGTTAAGAATCCGCCTGCCAATGCAGGAGACACATGTCCGAGCCCTGGTCCGGGAAGAATCCCATATGCTGTGGAGCAACTAAGCCCGTGCAGCACAACTGCTGAGGCTGCGCTCTAGGGCCTGTGACTGAGCCCATGTGCCACAACTACTGAGCCCACGTGCCTAGAGCCTGTGCTCTGAAACAAGAGAAGCCACCGCAATGAGAAGCCCACGAACCGCAACAAAGAGTTGCCCCCACTCGCCACAACTAGAGAAAGCCCGCACACAGCAACAAAGACCCAATGCAGCCAAAAGTAAATAAATGAAATAAATTTATTTAAAGAAAAAGTTAAAACTCACAATCTGAGAATTGCTGGTATAAGGTCTTTTTAAATGAGGGACTATCTCTGATAAAGTAACCATAGGCACCACTGCTCAGCATCCTTCAGAAAAGCTAACATGTGAGACCGATGGGCAAAATACGTCATTAAACAATATGCCAGCATTGATGATCCTGATACAACCAATACAGGAAGACAAATTTACTTTTGGGGGCACCTGGAGAAAATGCTTCTTAATTAATCGTTCTTCTTTCAGTGTTTTTCTACTCCCTGTATGGTCTGTTCAAAGGTAAAGCTGGCTGGCTTTTCTCAGGGCTGCAATTAAAATGCAAGTCAGAAAAAAAAATGCAAGTCAGAAGGAACATTTTCTACCACAAGGTACCATGATGCTTTCCTGGAAGGGAGGGGAAGAATTGCTCTGCTCAAAAGGGGTCTGGAACTGGAATCAAGAGAATATAGATTCTAGCATCAATTTTACTATCAACTAATAGTGACCAAGTCACTTCACTTTTCTCATTTTAGTACAGAAAGTGCCTTTATACCACCTGCTCTCATGGGTATTTTGTGCAGATAAACTGGGATAATATATATAAAGTGTTTTGAAATGTACATTGCAATATTCAAAGAGAAAATATCGCTATTGCTATGATATCATGTGGATTACTATTTTCTATAGTTTGGTCCTAAGAATAGCCTTAAGAAATCAGTTGAAGCCCCTTTGAAAGCAGACATTTAATTAAAAAGCTATAGTTTCATCCCTAAAACTGCTGATACCACCAGATGCCTTTAACACTGTGGCAAAATGAGTTAATCATAGAAAAGTTACCATGACAAGGTAGGCAGAAGGCCAGTTAAGTGATTTCTTTTTTAAGACACATGGAAACAGACTGTAGTTCTGCACAAGCTGTTTCCTAAAAGGAGCTCTGGAGAAAGCTTTCAAGGATCTGAGAAAGAAGAGGGGGAAAAGAAAATAAAATTACTACATATATCTATATCCATGTATCTATACCTACCTACCCTTACAGTGCATCTTCTTCAAAGGCTAGTCCTGAACTCTCAGATGTATAAGGAAATTTTAAAAGATAACTACTATGTTTACTAATGCAGTGATGGATTTCTGTTTAATCCAGTACTGAGTACCACTACCTGAGATGCTGCAGGCCTTCAGAGTCAAGCTACACAGAGGTGTACAAACTATCACAGTATTATAATAACGATAGTAACCCTGGTTTCTGAGGAAGTATGTTTAATAGGATTCAGAATGTGGTACCAGATTTTATGTCATCCTAGGGAAGACTGAACATGGTGCTCCCTCTAGCAGACCAACCTTAAAAAAAAAAAAAAAAAAACTGCCAAAGATATCAGATCTTACATCTTAAGAGGGTCTTTAGACTTGGAAGGGCCTTTGATAGCACCTAGTCTAACAATCTCATGTTAAATATATGAAAAGGAAGGATCAGATGATTTATGCAACTTGCTTCCCAAAAAATCAAGGAATTTGGTAGCAGTACTAAAATTAAACCCAGGTCTCTTGATTGTACCCTGAAGTCCTTTCCACCATTCTAAGCTGCTTCTGAGTCTTTGTCCATGCCAGCACAGGTGGGATAATAGCCCTAGGCATTCTCACCTTTGACCTCCTTGCTGGAAGCCTCATTAGTTTGAGTCTCTTCTATGTTCCCATTCCAGGGCCTTAATGAATGGAACAGTGGGGCACCAGAGAACACCAGCTCCTCAAATAAAAGAGTTACAAGCCAGAGCCCTGGAAAGCAGTGCTTCTCTCCTAAAGAATATATACATGATGGAAAAAGGTAGGAGAGGCATGCAAGGCTGGCAGTAGAAAGAATCCCACAGGTTCAACCAATAGTTGGCAGCAATGTGAGGTCTTCTGATCTGGTGTTGTAAGCTGTCTCATTTCTCTTATGACTCAGTGGAAGCAGGGCCACACCAAATAGCACTGGAATGCCTAGAGAGTAAAGTCCCAAGAAAAAACAGTCGCCCACAAAGAAAGAATAACCCAGAAACATATCAGGAACACCAAAAGGAAGGCTTATGAACATTTCCCCAGACATTTATAAGCTCCACTTCTTGCTTCTTCCTTCAAAGTTTAGGAGGGCACTGAGAAACACTTAAATTTATGTCTCAGGCTTTATTGGATTAAAATGCATAAGCCGGGCTTCCCTGGTGGCGCAGTGGTTGAGAGTCCACCTGCCGATGCAGGGGACACAGGTCCGTGCCCCGGTCCGGGAAGATCCCACATGCCACGGAGTGGCTGGGCCCGTGAGCCATGGCCGCTGAGCCTGCACGTCTGGAGCCTCTGCTCCGCAATGGGAAAGGCCAAAACAGGGAGAGGCCCGCGCACAAAAAAAAAAAAAAAAAAAAAAAAATGCATAAGCCAACTCTCATACTCATACTCAGTGGTTTTCAAACTTTACTATGTTTAGGAATCACCTGAGAATCTTGTTTAAAATGCATATTCTTGAGCCATACCAGATTTTTACATTAGCAAAACAATGAGTTAATCCTTGCCCAGGAAGCTGCACATTTTCAAATACTCCAGGTGATTCTGATGCGTGTGTTTCACAGAACAGTGAAATCACTGCTTTACCACTAACAGAGAGAACCTTCTGATAACAGGTTATCACCTATCTGCTAGATAAAGGCCAAAGGCATTTGTATGCCTGAACAAGGACAATTTCTCCCTTTCCAGAGGTTGATGTGGCAATCACACAAAGCCATTCATACCAATGTACTCCCACAGCACCTCGTGTTCAATCTGAGATGTTGCATTAAGGCCAAGTAAAACTGATAACTTTCTTGATTCCACTTGGAAAAGCAGTAGGGTGGTGAACAGTTCTCAAGCCTGAAAAGCTTTAAAAACATACTGATACCTGAGGCCCACCTCAATCCAAGGAAACCCAAATCTCTGGGGGGTGAGGTTTGGGCATTTTTTAGAAGCTCCCCAGGTAATATATTGTGCAGCTGAGGTTGAGAACTACCCATCTAAGGTAATATACTCTGGAGGGACCAACAGGAAGTGTCTGCTGATTTCTGGTCAACCAAATCTGGGAATGTCATCATCTAAGTGATGCTTCAAGATATAGATCTTTCACATAGAGCATATAATTTTTTTAACTTATTTAAGCAAGGTTTTTCATTGAAATGAGTTATTTTACAGAAACACATCTATTCAGATTTATGCATCATGTAAAGTCTCCTTTCTTTATTCTCTTAACATTTAAGCACACCCAAACTGGCAGCCCCACTCTCCTATACCTACCCCAGAGTTCCATTTTCTGGACTGGAAATCCGCTGTGGAAGTCCACAAAGAGAAAAAGCAGCAGAGTTTGTCCCTGGGGGTCCATATTCTGAGTCTGATCCCCCTCACTGGATTCCACCTGATAACTCACATCTGGAAGCACCAAATCTAGAGGACAAGATATTACAGAGTATCCTAAGATAAGTAAAGCCCTCAAAATGCTAAGTGAATAAAGAACCTATACCTCAAACAAAGAGGGATCTGAGATAAATCTAAATTTGAACACTCCCTTCTCCTCCTGAATCTGTTTCTCTACCCACATGATAAAAGTAAATAATAGTGACTCACAGGAAGAACATCAAAATAACAACTGGGTGTATAAAATGCAAACCAAACAGCATTCCTTAGAATTTACTGGGAAGTATTATACAGTAAATTCATTCACTCCTCATGTAACTTTCTAAGGTAGGTATCACTAATAAGAGGCTAGTAAAAAGTAGGTATAGCTAGTAAGAGTAATGACAACAGCTAACTTGTATTGAACGCTTACCACGTGCCACGTACCACATTAAATTCTTGGCATGTATTATCTCAACATTCAGACTTCACTGCACTATGGTATGGGACATAGTCTTATGCTCTTTTACAGGCAAGAAAAGAGGCACAGGTAGGTTAAATACATTGCCCAACATGAGACAGGAAGTGGTGGAACTGTTTTAGACTAACTCCAAAATCTGTGCTCTTAACCACAGTGCTATATAATATTCGTATCCCCAAGTAATCTGATCCCTATGGTCTTTTTCTAGAATATAATCACTATAGTCCTAAATTCCATCCAGATCCATATAGAGAAGTACCTCCATGTGGATCCTGATTCTGTAATGAGGGAAGGTGACATGTGCGGACATTTTCTATGCTATTCATTTCCAAAATTAACTGAGCAAGTTTAGGCATCACAAATTGGCAAAAAATGAAGGAAATCAACAAAGCATGAAAATAAAAATGAAAGAGAAAAGGAGATATGGAGAGCCCTCGAGATTTAAAAAATCCTGATAGCATGACATCCCATCTGTTAAGACCAAAAATTTTTATTTTTTTTTTTCAGTGACATCAATGGTTTAATGGATAGGGGGATCTTACATGTCTGAAGCAAGGTCCTGGAGTGATACCCCACTGTGTGTGGCAGACAGCAGGCAGAACATGGTTATCAAAATCTGGAGAAACTATTCTAGATAGACATTCCCAAAACATAATTATTCCTATAGAGTTTACCTAAAGGCTCTTATCTTATTTACATTTACTTAAAATTTCATCATAGCAAGATATTTTCCTTGCTGACAAATTTGCAACAGATATAATATGGTCTTATTTGATCTCAAAATAAGCCTAGGTACAAGTATTATACTTAACACTGATGACTCTAAAGACATGTCTACATTAATCAAACCAACAAGTTTAAGCTAGCTTCAATACCAGATATCCATTCAGTACTGAATGTTTCATATAACACGTGAAACTGAATTTCATTCTGGAGTTTCTTTTATATTTCTGAGAGTTTATATGAGCGCTTAATTTCTCTTAAGCCAATTAAACAGAGCTCATCCACAAACCAATCTTGGCAGTGCCATTTGGAGGCAGAGACACCTTATATTTATAAGGTACACATAGACACACATTTATTTATGTGGACACAGAGATCTCACTGTTTTCTTGCTAGAGTTTAAAAAGTTCTTTTTTTTTTTTTCTTCACTCTCAAGGATCACAGGTAATTAAAGTTCCTGAGAGCCCAGGTAGATTATTAACATCTCAAAGACACAGGAAGAGAAATACCAATTCCTTCTAGAAAGCTAACTTCCTCTAAGGCCTATGCAAAAACCAGTTTTCAGAACTTCAGAAGAGTCCCATCTTGGATGTTTTCAGGGATTTTTTTCAGTTTCTAAATAGCCAATTCAGTTTAAACAAATAACAGTAATAGACAATAATACATATAATTCACTCACATTCGCTTGCCTCACTTTCAGAGGAACATGAATCACCATTCAAGTTACTAAGACCCCCCTAGCGAGGGTTATAACCAGGAAGAGAGGACAGGATTTGGACTCAGGTACCCAGACACTCACACACACACCCCCAAGATAAAAGCCAAACCAATTCCAAAAGGCTCTCTTTGGTACAATAGCAGAGCCATTAGGGGACACTGTTCTCTTAATACATCTTCCACAGTTTGCCAGGGGAGAGGAGTAGTAGGTATTCCCCCTCATTGGGCCAGGTGGTACGGTAAGCAGCCATTACCCAAGGGAGCAAGGAAAGCACTTCACCCTCATTGCTGGCCCCATATAAGTGCTAAGGGGCAGCCCACAGCTGTGGCCACAGCCTTATTAAGACCAAACATTCTTTCCTCACAAAACCACTTACCTCCAGAAGCCCAAGGACACCCTCCTTTCATTCCGCCCTCTGGAATAACTACCTACTCAAGAAAAAGTGTCTTACCACGAGGCCTACTTCCAAGATGAAGATTCTATCTTTCCCCCGGAAATACTTCCCTATACTGGCAGGCTTCAATCTTCTCATACCAGTCACAACTCTAGAATACCTCCTCGCTACTGGTGAACTTCCTCAGGATCCAGTTGAACAGACTGCCTTCTAAATTTCAAAGGATTCTAGCTAACAACAGTCAAACTCAAGACTATAAAGCTCCTAGACATCAGCTCATGGTTGCATATTCCTATTTCTCAGTTTTATTTGTTGGTCTAATTATTAAGCATCCAATTTCAGTATGATTCAGCCAAAGCCAATGTGATTAGGCTCTATATGAATAGTACAGTCAGCTTCCTAGGTTTATCACTATATGGTTTATACTCCTGCCTTGCTTTTACGTAGTATTACAATTTTTCTAAGTAATTTTATATGGATTTTTTCATTTCATTGGGAAATATTTCTATTCCACGATAGTTCAAAGATGTCCTTGCAACTTTACTAACCTTTCTAAAACCCCAGAGTTGATGGATTAAGGTACAATAGAAACCCTCTGAACAAGTCCCTGGAAGGTGAAGGCCCACTGACTACATCAAGAGGGCCAGGAATAGAGAAGGCAGTAGAAATGAGGAGAACCAGCATCAACACGTAATGCCAGAACGGTTAGGCTCTGATGGGGCTTTGCCTGTTGACACCTGTTTGACTCACTTCATGTGGAATCTCAAACTTAGCCAGACTCCCACCTGTAACCCCCAACCTAAGCCATCAGATCACTAGGTCCTATTCTTTTTTTCTTTTTTTTTTTGCGGTACGCGGGCCTTTCACTGTTGTGGCCTCTCCCGCTGCGGAACGCAGGCTCAGCAGCCATGGCTCACGGGCCCAGCTCCGCGGCATGTGAGATCTTCCCGGACCGGGGCACGAACCCGTGTCCCTTGCATCGGCAGGCAGACTCTCAACCACTACGCCACCAGGGAAGCCCGGTCCTATTCTTATATACACTTGCTATTTATATCTCCTTGCATTTCTCTAATATTCTCCAGAGTTCTTTATTCCTATGCAAACAAAGAGAGGGAGATTTACCTCTATCGAAATTTAAATCCAAATTGGGCACCATACACAAGTGGTATTTCTTCCAGTTAATGAAATAAGAGGTATCTTTGAAGGTAGTAGAAGTTGGCTGCTCCGGATTTAGCAATATCAGAGGCAGACCTGAAGGTCCATATAGAAATATGTATAGTTGCTAAAGAAAATTGCAAATTTTTAGTTTCTTATAACTGTATTTATATGCATAAAACAAACACAACACTGACCTGGTTCACACTCTCAGAAATAAACTAGTGTGCTAGGCGATTACATATTAAGCCTTTTCCACATTAAGGATAGGTGTGAGGCGCCAGAGATAGATCCACTAGAATCCCCAGGAATTATTTTGGGTTTAATGAGTGTGAGCTACAAATATAGTTTTTGGACAATTCGTTTATTTACTCTCCTACTCATTAAATCATAGGTTTGAATAGTACCACAGGCTAAACACTACACTGTACTAAGTTCTGGGGATATAAAGATGAATATACAGATTTAATACTTACCTTCAAGTTATATTTATAGTATGGGAGATACATGTAAAAACCAGTAAACTGTAATATGATATGATACATGCTAGAATGAAAGTATATACAAAGCAATATTTCCCAGTAAGTATTTAAGTATATTCAGATTGAGAGGGAAACACTTCACCTTCTCCAACCTACTCTCTAACCAAGACTAAGGAAGGTAGGCCCTTAAATGGTTTCTTTCTCTTGACTTCTCATTCCTACCCTCACCCTCCCTGTAACCCAGTGTTTCTCAACCTTGGCACGTTGACGCTTTGGGCCAGATGATTCTTTATTGTGGGGCTGTCCTGTGCATTGTAGGATGTTTTGCAGCTTCCCTGGCCTCTACCCGCTAGATGCCAATATCACCTCTCCCACCAGTCATAAGGATCAAAATGTCTCCAGCCATTGCCTAATGTCCTCTGAGGGCAAAATCACCCAGTTAAGAACCACTGCCTAAACTTTGTTGTCCCCTGAACCAAGGCTAATAAGACCAGAATATATATTGTCCTGTATCTTTCTGTTTTCATCCTCTTTTTCATAGGGTAAACATGAGGCATTAAGTGTGAAGATTAAAATCCTTACCCAGTAGGGACTGGGGCATTACTGAAAGTCACAACAGAGCAAAGGGAGGCAGTGCCTATGAATGAAGTCTCCATCACAAATCCAAGAAGGCATTAACACTTGAGCTAAGGCCAACACATTCACTATTTAGAGCCAGGGGAGATTTTAGGTGCTGCAAACTCAGAATAAGAGTGAAATATCCGAAGAGTCAAAATGTGTGAATGTCTTTTAATTGGGTTGTTTAAACTATTTACATTTAATATGAATACTGTTATGGCTGAGTTTAAATCTAGCATCCTGTTACCTGTTTTCTATTTGTTCCTTGTATTTTATTTCCTTTTTCTTCTTTTCTATTTTTGGATTGGGTATTCTTTATAACTCCATTTTATCCCTTTTTTTGACTTATTAGTTATAACTCTTTGTGGTATTAACTTAGGGATTGCTTTAGGCTTTACAGTATACAACTCTAACTTATCACAGTCTGCCTTCAAGTGATACCGTAACAGTTCACACATGTATAGTATGAGAATCCTTCAACAATGTACTTCCATTTCTCCCCTCTTGGCCTTAGTGCTGTTGTCACACATTTTACTTCTACACATGTTGTAAGTCTTATACACTGTTGATATTTTTGAACAGTCAATTATCTTTTGAAGAGATTTTTTAAATAGGGCAAAAATCTTTTATATCTACCCAAATAGTTATGATTTCCAGTGCTCGTCTTTATTTGAGTAGATCCAGAATTCCATCTGGTACCATTTTCCTTCTGCCTAAAGCATTTCCTTTAACGTTTCTTATAATACAAGTCTCCTGGTGATGAAGACTTTGGTACATCTGAAATATTCTTTATTTTGCCTTCATTTTTTTTTTGAATTTTTGAATTTTATTTTATTTATTTTTTATACAGCAGGTTCTTATTAGTTATCTAATTTATGCCTTCATTTTTGAAAAGTATTTCCTCTTGGTATAGAATCCCACATTAACAGTTTTCTTTTCTTTTATTAAAGATGTTGCTCCATTTTCTTCTAGCTTATACTGTTTCCAGTGAGGAATCTGTGGTATTTCTTATCTTTGTTCCTCAATATGTAATGTGTCTTTTTATCTCTAGCTGTTTTTAAGATTTTTTTCTTTACTACTGGCTTTAAGCAATTTGATTATGGTGTGGCTTGGTATAATTTTCTTCATGTTTCTTACGTTTAGGGTTCATTGATCTTCTTGGATCTGCAGGTTTATAGTTTTCATCAAATTTGGAAATTTGGGGAACATTATTTCCTCAAATGTTTTATCTGCCTTGCCTCCCTGCAGGACTCCAGTTACACATCCCTGAATTAGGCCACTTGAAGTTATCTCACAGTTCACTGATGCTTTGTTTATTTTTTTAGAGTTTTTTTTTATTTCACTTTAGTTAGTTTCTAGTTTTGTGTCTTCAAGTTCACTAATCTTTCCTTCTGCAATGTGTAAATCCGCCATCAATTTCATTCAGTATTATTTTCATCCTGAAAATTATATTTTTTTCCTCTAGAAGTTCAGTTTGGGTCTTTAAAAAAATCTCTTTCACCTCTTTATTTAGTATGTTCAATCTTTACTCTCACTTTTTGAACATGGAATACAGTTATAACTGTTTTAATGTCCTTGTTTACTAATTCTATCACCTGTGTCATTTCTGGGTAGGCTTCCATTGATTGAAAATTTTCTTTCATTATGGGCCCTATTTCCCTGCTTGTTTGCATGCCAAGTAATTTCTTATTGGATGCCCAGCATTGTGAAGATTACCTTTTTGGGTGCAGAATATTTTTGTATTCCTATAAATATTCTTGAACTTTTTTTCTGGGACACTGTAAAGTTATTTGGAAACAGTTTCAGTCTTATTGGTCTTACATTTAAGCTTTGATACGTGGGACTAGAGAATCCTGTAGGCTATGGCTAACTTTTCCCCACTACTCAGGCAAAGCCTTCTTAAGACTCCACCTCATGCCTTAAGAAGTATGAAGCTTTCCACCCTGCCTGATAGGAACAGGAACTATTCCCAGCTCTGTGTGCATTCCAGGGATTCTCTTCTGTCTGGAGCTCTATTTCTATGTATTTATTTCCTCTTCAGTACTTTTTTCTATAAATCCTAGCTGTCTAGACCTCCCTGAATTTTGAACTTTGTCTCCTCAACTCAGATCCACCAGACTCCAGTTGGGTATCCCCTCCTGGTGGTGTAGCCTGGAAATTCTCTCTAGACAGTACAGTGGGGCAAACACAGGGTTCACTTGTTTGTTTCTCCTCCTTCTAGAACCACTGTCTTGCATTATCTGTTGTGTAATACCTGAAAACTGTTGTTTAATATAATTTGTCCATTTTTTCTAGCTGTTCAGGGTAGGAAAATAAATCCAGTCCCTGTTATTTGATCATGGCTGGAAGTGGAAGTTCCTAAATCCTTTGACACAATCTCATTGGCCTTTGATAACTTCCTTGCTTTCTGGCCCAACAAGATACCCAGCTCATCTTGTACATTTCTACTTTAGGCCCAGAATCAGCCACTTCTCCTTTTTAGTGAGCAGTGGTATTTAGAGGACACATTCTGAGTACCACGAGTGTTCATTGCTTCTAAGGTTTTTTTTAGTGGACAGAGCTAAGAAATATATAATTTTTAAAGTCAGAAAAATTGGGGATTCACATTGGTATTTTCAATTCTGTCTCAAAGTTACTTTTAAAGATTTTTATTTCTTTGAATTTACACTCATATATCTTCTATCTTATGCTAAAAAATTTGGTTCCTAACAATGTTAACATAATTACTTATTTGTTTTTACATAAGTATGCACACAATTTCAATATAATAATACCAATATTATTACTAAGAATCAAGACCACTTAATGAATTTTAAGAGTTCTTTGCAGTTCATTTCATCCTTAGAATATCCCACCAAGAATGTACAGTCAAAACACTGCTCTAGTCAGTTGAATTAATTCTTCTTCTTGTATGGATTAGGACAGTAATATAATATACAGGTAGGTTCATTACCTTTTATCCTGAAGAATATTTTTATTGGGTATGGAATTCTAGGTTGATGATTAGTTTATGTCAGGACATTAACACTATTATTCTACTACTTTCTGTTGGTATGAGGAAGTCAGCTGTCAGTTTCTCTTTTGAAGACAATCTGTCTTCCCTGGGTGATTTTTTTTTTTTTTTCTACTCTTCCCTGGGTGATTTTAAGGTTTTCTTTTTGTCTTTGATCTTCTAGAAGGTGTGGATATATAGACAGATATATATTTTTTATAAATTTATTTATTTATTTTTGGCTGCGTTGGTTCTTCGTTGCTGCACACGGGCTTTCTTTAGTTGCAGCGAGCGGGAGCTACTCTTCGCTGCAGTGCGTGGGCTTCTCGTTGTGGTGGCTTTTCTTGTTGCAGAGCACAGGCTCTAGGCGCATGGGCTTCAGTAGTTGTGGCATGTGGGGTCAGTAGTTGGGGCACACGGGCTTAGTTGCTCGGCGGCATGTGGGATCTTCCCGGACCAGGGCTCGAACCCATATCCCCTGCATTGGCAGGCGGATTCTTAACCACTGTGTCACCAGGGAAGTCCCAAGGAGTGGATATCTTTTTATTTATCCTGCTTGATTGTTCAGCTTGAAATCTGTTTTAGTTGCTTCAGCCATTAACTCTTCAAATATAGTTTCTGCCCCATTTTTCTCTCTCTTCTCCTCTGGAACATGAATTAAATGTACATTAGAATGTCTCACTGTTTCCTCTCACTGTTTACCTCTTCTGTATTCTCCATCCTTTGTCTCACTTCGTTTTGTTTTGCTCAGTTTTTGCTATCCTTATATTTTAGTTCGTAAATTCAGTTATGCTGTGTCTAATTTGCTGTTAAACCTGCCTACTGAATTTCAATATTGGTTATTGTATATTTTGGTTCTACAATTTGTTTGGTTCTTTTTAAAATTATGTCACATTCAATAGTTTCAGTTCCCTGGCAAAATTTTTAAGCTTGCCTTCATTTTCATAAACATAGTAAGCATATTTTTTTATTTTTAAAATCAGTATCTGATATTAGCAATTATCTGGAGTCCCAGTGCATGTTGCTGTTGCTTTTGTTTTTGTTAGCTCTTGTTCACGCCTCCTTGTCTTCTCTTGTACCTGATTGTGTGTGTGTGTGTGTGTATGTTAATGTGTGCATGCACATGGGAGCTGGATGTTATATTTAAGTATCTGTTAAATAATCTGAAGCATAGATGCAGTTATCTTCCTCTAGCAAGAATTTCTGTTTGCTTCTACAAGGCATCTGGGAGAATTAGAAATTTAGAATCACCTTAAACCAATTTCAAAGTTTAAGATTTTCTGGCCTGCCTAAACCAACCCCCAAAATAAATGCACACCACTGAAGGATGGTTTATTTCAGGTTCACCTTACTCCTTAAAGTATAGCCTTTTACTTATCCCTGTCCAAAACAAGAGGTGTCTTTAACAGCACTCCCAAGCTCAGCAGGCCCTGAACTCTTTGGCCTTCTTCTCCTGCGTTGATTCAGAAGTTGTCTTAGTCTCTCAGCTACTTGCTCTAATTGGCAAATGACCCTAGGGCAAAAGAGCCCTCAGTGCTGGGCTCAGCTTTTTGTAATTCCTCTCTTTCCTAAATCACAGCCCAGAAATTCCTCCCTATTCACTAGCTGTTAGATACTTTTATGATGTCTTGGTATTTCATCCAGCCTTTGTCTTCATTAGGAGGGTTGGTCTAAATTACCTAGTTTGCCATTTTCAGAAACTGAAATCCCACCAGTTTTCATAGTTAGCTCTCTCTCTTTACTAAAACATCACCTCCCTGGAGTCTTCACTGACCATAATATTTAAAATGACATTCCCATCATTATCTCTTTACCCACATTATTTTATCTTCACTGCACTTATCACTACCTAACATCCATTTATTTATTAAATTTTCCCATGAAAATGTAAACTCCAAGAGGATAGAAAATTTGTCTTATTCCCTCTTGAGAATGGGATGAGGACGAAGAGAAACTTTCATATTTTATTTATACTCTTCCGTATGATCTAGATATTAAGAAAAAGCATGTTTTAAAATATGAAATGTCCACGCACAGTGTTTATCACTATCCTGGCTCCTTCTTCCTCCTTAAAGACGTCCTCAGCTGACATTTAACATACCAGGACCTTGGCCCTCTTCTGTTCTTGTTCTTTATACTCTATTACAACTTCCTTTACTCCTACAGCTTCAATCATATAATCATAATAATACTGAACATTTATCAAACACTTATATTATGTGTCAGGCAATATGCTGGGAGCTTCACATGGATTATTATATAGTTAACCCTAAAACAAACAAACCCCAAAAGAACAACAACAAGAGAAACCTTTGCAAGGGAAAATAAGTCTATGAGGTAGGTATTATTATCCCCATACTAAAGCTGAGGAAATAAAGGCTTAGGCTGGTTGAGTAAGTTGTGCAAAGTCACACAGCTAATTCATGGTGAATCTAGCATTTTTACTCCTGTGTCATGCTCTAGCCATAGCACTATACTATACTATAGTTACCTATGGAGAAAACTCTGAGGCTCTAAAATCTATTTCTCTAAATCTGACCACTTCCAAATTCCAGACCAAAATTTCTATATGGCTGCTTGCCATTTTTAAAGGATGCCCTGCAGGCACCATAAATGCAACTTTTGTAAAGCCAAACTAATCTTCTTCACTCCTCAGATCTTGTTGCCAGTATCATTATTCTGTTGGCCATCTATGGAAATCTTTTTTAACAGCTTTACTGAGATTTAATTTACACATCATACAAATCACCCATTTAAAGTGTACAATTAAATTGGTTTTAGTATATTCAAAAAGTTGTGCAACCATCACCACTATCAGTTTTAGGACATTTTTATCACTCCCAGGAGAATCATTCCCCATCTATTTTCTGTCTCTATAAATTTGCCTATTCTGGATATAGAGTTCTTGACATCAACTTTAGCCATTCTCTGCCCCTAATCTCTCCCTAGCCAAACAACAAACTGGTTACCTCATCATGTTGATTCCTTCCAGTGCTAAGTCTCTCCTTTCCATGCTCATCACACTTTTAATTCATGCACTTAATAGTTCTTGCCCAGCTCACTTACTTATTTAATTAGTGATTACTGACGTCTCTCTCCCACCTATCCTGTACAAGGCTGCTAGAGATTCCTAAAACATTTAATGGTTTCCCATTATATAGAGAATAAAGTTCACACTCCTTAGTGTGGCACTCAAGATCCACCATATTCAACCCCAAACTACTTTTCCAGCCTCATCTCTCCCTCTTGCACCATTCATTCCATGCTTCAGTCATACTGGATTATATGAAAACAGTGTGGCACTTGTCATATTTTATAGCTTAAAGTTTCTTGGAAAAATTCTCAAGCTTAGCTTTCATATTGGATTTTTGTTTTTATACAAATCGTACCAGCTTCTAGATACAGAGTTTATATGCTAGAGGCTTTTCTAGAATTGAAATATAAAAATCCATTTTCAAAGACAATGAATTTGAACATTTTGGTGGACTCTGTCATCAAAAGGATATGGAAGCTGAAGAAATCCTATTCAGCTGGTTGGAAAAGACGTTTGGGCAAGGACAGAGAGCAGCAGCTGGAGTCAGTATCAGCTCCCCCAACAAGCCCATTTTAGCCACATCATCAGGGATGAAGAGCATTACTGGATGTCCTAGCACAGGATGGATTCTGCTGCAGAGTAATTCAGTTGTACCAAATTTTGGTGTACTGTCAAAAAACAGGTAAGACAAATTTAGCTTTTTTCCCTCTTAAGAAGTTATTTTAAAGGGAATTCAAAATTCTTTTTATAACCTCTAGCATATGCATAACCATATCATCCACCACATAAATTTTGTTGGTATAAGTAACTTGTGTCCCACTCAGTGAATCACAGGGAATGGAAAAAGTAGACAAATTGGCATTTCAGGAATTATAGCATGGCTCCTGCTTTTGCTGCCACTAATGGCAGTTTTATATTCTCAAAAGTATATTCCCGCCACTAAAATTACTCTATGGTCCTGAGCAGAAGTTTCCAAGATCATTCAAAGATCAACATGGTGGGGGTGGGGGTCAGGGGTCCCTGAATCACAAATGGCCTAAAACTGGCCTCATGATACTTAGGTTTCTGCTTTTACACATGCTACACCTTCCCCTGAAGAAGTCTGAGGTTACTATTTGGTAGGAGTAATGAGAAAAAATTGGGACATCTTTCTCTTCTAGAAAGAATCTAGTGAAATTTGGTATTTGCTTACTTTCCAACAGCTCTTTTCTAAACAGAAAAGAAATGTTAATGAACCTTTCCCCCTTTCTCTAAACTAATCAGGTCACCCAGGGAAATATGTCCACAAACATTGGCTTAGAGGCTTAAACTCTTTCAGTCAATCTATGATAGCAAGGCTGTCTGCCTGTAGGGATTGTATGATGCTAGAAGATTACTAAATAAAGATGTGGGGTGGGGGTTTTGTGTCCTGCAGATATTAAAGAATAAAACAGTCTAATCTGAGAGGTAATTTTGGTCAAAAGTAAGAAAACAGACTGAAAAACCATAGGCAGTCTCTTCAAGCCTTAAGATCCTATGACTACCAGTGTTGATCCAGGGCATATAAGTGGAAGCAGAAACTATGGAATAAAGAATAGATTCGCTGGACTTAAACATAAGTTAGGCATTTTCTTGCTATAATTCATGTTCACTTTGGGTTCTGTGGTAACTGGATAGTACAGGAAGGCAAAGCACAGGGTTCTACTCCATTTATTTTCCACCTCCTCCATGGATTTCTTTGCAGTCTGAAAAAGGTAGAGGTGGGAAGAAAGATGATTTCTAAACCTATGCAAAATGCTAATACACAAGCAATAATATACAAAGAATTCGTTTGCAGTCATAGTATCTCTCTAGCCAAGAGTTCAAGCAATCTCTAAAGTCATTCCTCTCTTCTCATGTCTAAATGGGATTGGAGTTAGCAGGGTTTGTTTTGTTTCATTTACAGAAGAAATTAAGGCATGGAGAGGAGAAGGAACATGCATGTCCTCAGGTCAATTAGAATATATTCAAGGAGCCAGGAATAATCATCATTTTCAATACAGGTAGCTTAAAATTTCTACTTTCAATTTTCTTACAGAGAATCTGACACTTGGCACTAAGAATTGACAACTGAGGCCATTTTCAATTTCTGCCCACATTCATACTCATAGTAAGAGAGTAAAACATGGAGAGGGACAACAATGCTTTCCCCTTCACCTCACATAATGCTGATGGTTTACGACAAGCGCAATTCCATTTGACAGGTTCAAAGTAGGTTCATTCTCTGCCCTGCAAAGCAAAGAAAAGCTAAGCCATATCTCAAAGATTCTAAAACCAATCTCTGCCTCTTACAAATTTTGGCCCATGAGTACCAACCCCAGAAATTACTGAAATTTAGTAACCAATTAACCAAGGGGAAAATGTCTATTTTTAAGTTTTCTCATTCTAGTGAAAGGGAAAGTCATGAAAGGTTTAATCTACTTACTCGTTAAAAACTAATCTAGAGGGCTTCCCTGGTGGCACAGTGGTTGGGAGTCCTCCTGCCAATTCAGGAGACACGGGTTCAAGCCCTGGTCCAGGAAGATCCCACATGCCACGGAGCAACTAGGCCTGTGCGCCACAACTACTGAGCCTGAGCTCCAGAGCCCGCGAGCCACAACTACTGAGCTCATGTGCCACAACTACTGAAGCCCAGGCGCCTAGAGCCCGTGCTCCTCAACTAGAAAAGCCACTGCAATGAGAAGCCTGCACACCGCCACGAAGAGTAGCCCCCACTCGCCACAGCTAGAGAAAGCCTGCGTGCAGCAACAAAGACCCAACACAGCCAAAAGTAATATAAATAAATTTATTAAAAAAAGAACTAATCTACAATAAGCAAATGTGGGGGGCGGGGTCTCAGAAAATTAGTTTCAAAGTGACTTCGAGTCAAGAAATCAAACTGTGAACCCACTGGAAATAATAGAACAATAATGACTGAGAAAAATTGTAGAGCCACTGCATAAACTTAAGCCATGGATTAAGGACTTACCCAAAGATCTCCATGGAGAGGATTCCATTCACCTTTACACTAAAATTAAATCTAATCTGCAAAATAAATGGGGTGTGATATTTAACATGAACCAGAATAGGGATTAAAATTTTCCATACTCAATTCCTAAAGGAGAAGATATTCTTTGTATCACCTTTTTTTTCCATTGCACTTTCCCTAAACATACTTAACACTTGTCTGTGTTCAAATTCTGCATCTTAAATACATTGCGTTCTACATTACAATTCCAAGTAGTCACAAATTATGAGGAAATACTACCCTTTTGTCCTCTGCTGTTCTCCTAATGTATCTCTTCTCCCCTTCTTAAATGAATTATCAATTTTTCTCTCTATTGTTTCCATTGTTTTCATATATGGAATATTCCATGCTTTTTTCTCTGTTTTTTCTTCCCCTATCCCCATCTCTTATGTCCTCCTTCCAATTTACTTCACTGTTCTAATTATTTTATACCTTCAACCTCTATTTTTTTTTCTATATAATATAATGGGTAATAAGGAACTCTAGAGCCAGACTGCCTCATTTCAAATCCTGGCCCTGCAAGTGATTTAACCTCTGTACCATATTTCCTTGGCTATAAAATGGGAATGATGATAAAACCTACTTCACAAGGGGTGTTGGCAGGGTTGAATGAGTGAGTACGTGGAGAGCACTTGGAAGAATGACTGGCAAACAATTAAGTACTGAATCCTGCTTAAGACAGAAAAAGTAGGAAACATGCCAGAAAAAAAGGGGAAGTTATATAGCATACTTGTGTGCAACTTTATGAACATATCAAACTACAGGTAATAATAGAAATTTTAGCTTTCCAGAGTTCAAAGTATTTTATCAAAATTTCCTTAGTTGCTCTTATAGTCACTTTAGAAAAAAAGGAGATAATCAGCAAAGTTTATCATCCAGGTTTAAAAGAAAAATGAAGCGCAGAAGAGGGAAACGAGGTATCCAAAGTGATACAATAAAACAGTAAGGCAGTGAAAATAAGAACCCAAAAGAAAGTTCTCTCTATATCCAAGGGCTCTCAACTATGTCACATGACCAACATCAAGCCTGCCTTAGGGATACAGGAACCAAATCAATTCAATATTAAAACTTTTAATCATTGTAATTAAAAGAAAGAGGACCAATCAGATCCTTCCATGCCCTACAGAGTAGAGGTCTTTTAAAAACGTATGACTTAAACAAGAGAATCGTTATTGTGCAAAAGAACAGCTTACCTTGGGGAGCACAGTGATGACTTTGTGTAAAAAATTCTTTATAACCAGGCTATCTGTCATCAAAGTTCTGGGCTTTTCATGAGCCTGTAACAACATAACAAAAACATCCACTGCACATACGCAAACCCAAGAGCACAAGTGAATTAAATTATGGTATTTCTTCTTATAAAAGTAACTACACCTCAGAAAGCTTTTCAGACATCCAAGGGGAAACATCTTTGGGTCTGAAAACTGAACACCAAAAGTAATCTAATAGCCATCACTTCTTGGGCTAAGGTACCTAATTTCATGGAACTTCAGGAGACGTGAACAAATACCAGAGTAAAACCCACAATCTCAAAACCACCTTTTGGAACAAATTTAAAAGTAATTTAGATTGGAGCTGAGAAGAGTAACTCTATCTTTACTATTCTAATGTGGGTCAATCTGTATTAAGAATCTGAGTGGAGTCAAAGGAACAGGCACTAAAAAGAACCTATTTTTAAACCTTAATCCATTCATCCAAACATTTGTATTTAAGGAAAAGCTGCAAAGCAGAAAGCTCAGAAGTCAGAAGACCTGTGTTCTAATACTGGCTCTATAAAAATTACTGCAGTAATCATGAAAAAAAATCACTTAACTTCTCCGGACCTTATTTCCTAATCTGCAAAACAGGCATAAAACTTAGCCTTTCAACCTCACAAAACTGTTTTAAAGACCAAAGAATAATCTGAAAATATATGTTAGACATGGTAACAATAATAGATACCACTTGATGAATGCCTACTATGTGGCAAGCAATGTGCAGGTGCTATATCTACAACAATCCTCAAGTCAGGTATTACAATCCCCTCTTTATAGATTAAAAAAAATGAGGCTCAGAATTCCCTTGAGGTCCAGGGGTTAGGACTCCGAGGTTTCACTGCCAAGGGCGCATGTTCAATCCCTGGCCGGGGAAATAAGATCCCTTCAGGCCCTGCAAGCCCTGCAGCGCGGCAAAAAAAAACAACCAAAAAATTAGGCTCAGAGAAGTTATGCAACTTGCCTAAGATGTTCAGTAATAGAGCCAGAATTTGACCCTAAGTCTATCTAACAACAATTGTCCATGCTCTTTCCAATATACCCTGATACCTCCATACAAATATAATAAGATTTATCACTTAATGAGGGCTTTCTCTATTCCAGGAGTGGTACTAAATATTTTACTTATATTACCTCATTTACCCCTCACAGAAACCATATTAGGTACATATAACCTACATTTTATGGATAAAAAAAATGAATTTCAAAGAGGTTAAACAACTTTGCCAAGGTGTGCCTGATCTGGCTCCAAAGCTTTAGTATTAACCACTTTCCTATACTATATTTAATATAGTGTCCCTAAAACCGAAGTTAAAATGCGTCTCCGAAAAAATGGAGAAGTCAATGAAGAAGAAATAGAGTCAGAAACCAGTAAGTTCTTTTTCTTTTCTTTTTTGAATAAATTTATTTATTTATATAATTTTTTATTTTTGGCTGCGTTGGGTCTTCACTGCTGCGCGCGGGCTTTCTCTAGTTGCAGCGAGCGGGGTCTCCTCTTCATTGTGGTGCGCGGGCTTCTTATTGCGGTGGCTTCTCTTGTTGAGGAGCACAGGCTCTAGGTGTGCAGGCTCAGTAGTTGTGCCGCACGGGCTTAGTTGCTCTGCAGCATGTGGGATCTTCCCAGATGAGGGCTCAAACCTGTGTTCCCTGCACTGGCAGGCGGATTCTTAACCACTGCACCAGCAGGGAAGTCCAACCAGTAAGTTCTTATTAATGGCTCAGAAAATACAGAGCCATGTACTAGGTGTATATTAAAGGAGAAAAAAGGTCCCAGACCCCAAAAATCTCATAACACAATAAAGAAGAAACATGTAAATATCTAATGAAGAATAAACTATTATAATACTCCTTATGGGCTTCCCTGGTGGCGCAGGGGTTGAGAGTCCGCCTGCCGATGCAGGGGACACGGGTTCGTGCCCCGGTCCGGGAGGATCCCACATGCCGCGGAGCGGCTGGGCCCGTGAGCCATGGCCGCTGAGCCTGCGCGTCCAGAGCCTGTGCTCCGCAATGGGAGAGGCCACAACAGTGAGAGGCCCGCATACCGCAATATAAATAAATATTTAAAAAATAAAAAGAAATATAATACTCTTTATAAGTACACTGAAAAAGAGATCAAGAACTGTGCAATGGCAGCCCCAGCTGACATCTGCCTGCAACTTTATGGGAGACCCTGAACCAAAATTTAGCACCCCAATTCCTGACCCACAGAAATTGTGAGACATAATAAATGATTACTGTCGTTTAAAAAAAAAAAAAAGAGCTGTGCAATGGGTGGGGATAATTAGAAAAACTATTATAAAAATATTTGAAAGTATTAGAAAAGTGGATGGGGATTATTAAAAAATTCTGGAAACAAATCTAGGATTATTCACACATGTAAACAGCAGTAATTAAACAGTAATTGCAGCATACATCCCATAGTCACATCCTTCTTTTAAAATTTTTTATTATAAAATGTTCAAATAGTAGAAAAGCAATGGTCTCTTGAAAGCATTTCCTATACTTAACACTTCCAAAACAACTTCTTGGAACAGTTTCAAACTTTTGTAACTTTAGTGATTATAGGGTATATCACAGAAAGGGCTTAATTATATCTAGCAGTAAGGCAACCAAGTAAGTGAAAGTTCCTTGAGCAGCTACCAGAGAGGGTCTACAATTAGTAAGGATGGGAACTACCATTTACTGAACACCTGCTACATGCCAAGCAGTTTATATACAAGTAGGAAATACCCCCACTTTATGGATGAGGATAATGACTAAATAAGCGAATTAATTTGTCCAAGGTCACACATAGCTAATTAAGTGGCAGAACTGGGAGTCAAACCTAGATCTGACTCCAGAGCCCACATTTCACTATGAAATGCTGCCTCTCCAAGAATGTTCATTTTCTGTACACATAGCTATCTGAATCAGATACTACGTAATCTATCATTATTTTTTATGGAGCCTGATGGGCAATGCTTAAACATGACTACTGAATATGTATGTGTATTTATTCACTGATAAAACACTTAATGTAGCTTATCATGTACTTAGGCTTACAGAGATAAATAAAACAATCTCTGAATTTGAAGAGTTTACACTTAAGTAGAAGAGAAAGACAAAATAAATAATTTATATGACAATGTGAAGAAGCTTTATGATTTAAATATATAAGAGATGCTAAAGAAATACACAAGAACGATTGGCACCTAATCCAGACTGAGAAGATAAAGTGACATAATGTCAGGTCAGTGGAGGATACTTAACACAAAGCAAATAGCTCCTTTTAAGGTCTACTCATAAATTATTGAGAGAGAGAGAGAGAAAGAGAGAGAGAGAAAGAAAGAAAGAAGGAAAGAAAGAAAGAAAGAAAGAAGGAAAAAAAGGAAGAAGGAAGGAAGGAAGGAAGGAAGGAAGGAAGAAAGAGACACTACACAGTCTTTTACAGCCTTTTACAGTTGGGTGTTAGAAACCCAGTACCCCAGGCCTGACATACCTTCAGAAGCAGTGAATTTACTTACACGTTGTTAGGAAAAAACATATGCTGCCAGCCCTGGGCAGCGGAAACTACTATTGAATCACGTTTCAGCCTTTAAATACAAGTCTAATCATATGATACAATATGGGAGCTGTTTTATATTTTCAAACATGAACTCATGTGGTTATGGGCTCTATATGACTTTCTAAAAGAAAGTCAGTGTCTCTGTCTCTCTCTCTCTTTGCTTAAATAGGTAAGTAGATAGATGATAGATAATAGAGAAATAGAGAAATGCAAAGATAGATAGATAGGTTTGTATGTATATATGTATATCTCTACCCATTTTATCATTTTGTATCATGGCAAAAATAAATACAAAAATGGATAAATTCATCAAGAAGATCTTGCAAAATCAAATTGTTTTTGGAAATACATGTTATCTAGCCTAATGGACTCCAAGATGCAGGACTGACTGAGCATAAACACAAAACCAGCATCTCTCTTAAATGAAGTTTTCCTCAGTCTTCCCTGGAATTAGCTCTCCTCACATGCCCAAAGCAGTGGATCATTTATTACCGCTTTTTCATGGAGGTCTCCATTCACTAGCCTTTGCTATAAACCTTGCCACTTGACCCTTCTTCCCTGTTGAGATATACGTGTATGATGAAATCTTTCACAACCTCCCCTTTTTCTCTTCTCATTCTCTTCATTCAAAAATCTTTTAAATAGGGACTTCCCTGGTGGCGCAGTGGTTAAGAATCCGCCTGCCAATGCAGGGGACACGGGTCGAGCCCTGGTCCGGGAAGATTCCACATGCCGCGGAGAAACTAAGCCCGTGCGCCACAACTACTGAGCCTGCGCTCTAGAGCCTGTGAGCCACAACTACTGAGCCCAAAAACCACAACTACTGAAGCCCATGTGCCTAGAGCCCATGCTCTGCAACAAGAGAAGCCAATGCAATGAGAAGCCTGTGCACCGCAACAAAGAGTAGCCCCCGCTCCGGCAACTAGAGAAAGCCCACACGCGGTTACAAAGACTCAACGCAGCCAAAAATAAAGAATAAATAAATAAATTTTAAAAATATTTTAAATAGCTGCACAGTATCAGAGACAATGAGATGTAATAGAGCAAATACTTTCAGGAAATCCTTGCTCCTCTTAGGTTATACTGCTCTTACCTCGCCCCACCTATCACCAACTGATTACTGGGCACTAAGCTCACAGTTCTCCTCTGCACTGCCATCACCCTCTGCCATCATCCTCTGTCCTGCCATCATCGTGGCTGACTTCCACATACAAACGGATGACCAGTCTAAGCAACAATTTGGTCTCATAACTCTCTGACCTCCTCAACTCCAACGGCCTTGACCTCCACTCATTTCCAGCCACCTACCTCCACGGCCATAGATTGGAACTGTATTGTTCTGGAAGGCTTAAACTAAAATGTCCCACTCTTATGTGAAAAAATATGCGCCAAGATATTAATAGTGGCTACCTTGATTAAGTCAATTATCTGTACTCTAAATGCACACTTTGATTTTCCTGAGGGAAACACTGCTCTTGCAATAAGGAAAAACAAAACAAAAAAAGAAAGAAACTTTATCACTCTGATGATAAATTTTTGTTCTTTCAAGTCTCTGAACTTCTTATACCCAGAAAATCTGTTTTTCAGTCTCATGAAAGACCTCTAGACCTTGACAACTTCCCATTGGGTTAGGTATCCTTCCTCTAAGCTACCTCAGCATCAGTGCATACCTGTATCATGATATATATTACACTGCATTGTAATTAGTTGTTTACTTATCTATCTTTTCCTTTAGATTCCAAGTTCCTTGGGATCAAGTGACATGTCTTGGGACTCTGTCTAGCACAGTGAAGCTGTCGTGAACAAACACAGGTTTCTGAGTAAAGGAATGAATATTGAAACAGCACTGATCAATATGAGTAAGACTTTGATTCAGATTCTAATTCTGTCCTTAACTTTGGTATGACCTTGGGAAAGTCAGTCAAATTCTCTGAATTTCAGTTTTCTTGTATCTGTAAAATGGGGTGATGATAATCCTTGTCCTATCCATTTCATAGAGTTGTCAGGAGGCTTAAATAATATATATGTTAGGTATAAGAATTACCATTGTTTGTTCAGACTGGCTAAAACACATGATTTCCTTTTCTAGAACTGCTTTCCTTGGCTCACTGAAATCAGCTTTTTTATTGCTACTTGACATTAATAGTTTTAGAGCTGACTAACCATTAACTGCTCCAGATTGTTTACCCTTCGTTCCCCTAAACAAGATATGGCACAGCCACGGATATCTTTTGTCCCGATACCATAGTCATTTCCTTTTAGAAGAAGGATATAATTGTTCCAACATGGAGAAAGGCCTCCCAAGTGCTTTTTGGGAGAACATTTAAAGTACTCTAATTCTTTGTCTCTACCAGTTCAAAGGAAGCAAGATAGGGGATCCGAGAATTGTTAAAGGGAATGGAGAACTCAATTGTCACTCTCATAAACCTGGGCTACAAAAAAATCAATAAAAATCTTTAAACCAACCTAATAAAAATGTATCTAAATAGGATCTGCACTGGGAATCCATTTTTATTTTCTTTTTCAGGAGATCCAAATTCAAATAATGGTTTACTTCAGTGGTTCTCAAATTTACCTGCACATTAGGAATCATCTGGGATTTTAAAAATATTCCAAAGCCCAGGCCACACATCTTACGGACTGGATTGTGTCCCCCAAAATTCATCTGTTGCAGCCCTAGCCTCCATGTGACTATATTTGGAGACAGGGCCTTAAGAATGTCATTAAGGTTAAATGAGGTCATAAGGGGGGCGCCCTAATCTGATAGGACTGGTGTCCTTGTAAGAAGAGGAAAAGACACCAGAAGGCTCTCTCTCCACATACATACAGAGGAAAGGTCATGTGAACAGTGACAAGGTATCTTGATCTTGGACTTCTAGCTTCCACAAGTATGAGAAAATAAGTTTCTGTTGTTTATGCCACCCAACCTGTGGCATTTTTTTTTAATGGCAGCCTAAGCAGACTAATCCAGCACCCTAGACCAATTAAATCACAACCTCTTGAAGTGGGACACAAACATCACTATTTTGAAAGCTCCCAGGTGATTTAAAATCGGCACACGGAAGTTTGGCGACCAATGCCTTATTTCATTTCAACTTTGAACTATAACGGACCTAGGCCTTTCTTTCCTGTTATTACATTTGTAGAAAAATAAGAATCAAAACATCATTAATTTATAGAACCACAGCAAAACTTGCCTCAAAAATCATCTGGAAGGGTGTTACCCCTGACACGTCCTGAGAATAACTGGTTTCCTCTGAAGTCCAGCTCAGCTCTGCAGAGAGTCCAGGCAGTATAGACTGTATTTCTGTGTGAGAAGAGATGGTGGCAGAATAGAACAAGCAGTTTGCATAAGCACCAGAGTTTCTGGAGTTATTAAACTGATAAGCCAAGAAGTCTCTTCCCTGATGAAAAGATTATCTGCAAAATTTTAAATATGACTGGAGATGGCTATGCATCAGCAAATTGCTTAAACATTTAGAATTACTTTATGGGGATAAGACGTTTAATCACATGTTTTCAATTTTACACAAATTGAAAATTTGCTAAATCAATTTGTATTTTCACTTAATTTCCACAAGGACATATCCAATGCCACAAATCTTCAGAGTTGATAGCTCTAACTGATATTCTTATATTTTTAAATAAATCAATTCATTATTTAATAACACAAATCCAGTAAGTGAGCTAATTCAGAACTTAAAACAGAAAAATTCAAGAATGACCCTCTCAGGCATTTACCTAATGCCTAATGCCTTTTTTTACCCAAGAGAAGCAAACTCTTGCTAATTTAATTGTCAATTAACCACTTCGTATATTTACATATGTTGATTCAGAACTCTTTACACAAAGCATCAGTGAGTCCTGGATCATCATCAACAAATAGAACCTCAAAGTATGCACCATCCTTCTTTCTTTCTGTACCCTGGCACTAATATTATAAAGGGAAAAAACCCTAAATCTCCCATTTTATAAAATGCCATCCCTTATTTCCCCTCTATAGTAGTATTAGAATGGAGAACTAAATATGAATAAAAATATATATCTCAGTCTCTGAACGTTCTACCTTATAAATGAAGTTGACAGTGTTGATATTATAAAAGAATTCAACTTAAAAATTTTAATAACAATAACATATATCCTAAAATAATAGCACAACTTTCTTCTAAAACATTCATACCATATATCTAATAAAGCTTTAACCATCTCAAAGAAGGTCAAGTTCTAGCTATCAATCTTAATGGGTAATATTTTTCTTGCCATTAGTTTGTTTTTCAAATATAATTCAGTCACAAAGCTTGAGATAATATGGCAGCAAGGTTATGCTACACTGAAGTTTAATGAAGTTGGCACTAAACCAGGATGACTTACATCAATCTTCAGATTTACCACTGACTGACTTTCTGACCTAGGGTGACCCCCTTTTTTCTGTGATTCAATTACCTTTCTGTGAAATAAGAAAAAATTGTTCCTCAATCCTGTAAAGTAGTAATACAGTGAAAAATAGGGAGAACATGTAGATACATGAGAAAAAGGTTTGTCAATAACTTGGAATTCTCTAGAAATCTTAATAATGATTTTTTTAAATGAGTAGTTATTTGGGGGAAATTAATTTCAATTAACTCACTCCATACACACACACACACACACAAAAAATCCAGATGGATTGACTAGAGTTAAATGTGAAAAGGTAAAACAGTAGAACTAAATAAAAAGCCTTCTGTTTCAAGATAAGTCAAGCATATGTTGAAATTTCATCTTCCCATTCAAACACATAAAATGATAAAACAAGTATTTTTAAATTTTAATAAAACATAGTCATAGGGACTTCCCTGGTGGTCCAGTAGTTAAGACTCCACGTTTCCAATGGAGGAGGTGTGGGTTTGATCCCTGGCCGGGGAACTAGTATCCCACATGCCGCATGACACAGCCAAATAAATAAATAAATGAATGAATAAAAATTAAAACAAAACAAAACATAGTCATAGTGAGAAAAAAAGAAAAGAGAAATCTTTATAGACCAGAAATAGAGAGGTATTCTTCCCTAATCTTCAGAAAGGAAAAAGAGAGAGAGAATCCACAATGGTAAGTAAGGACCAAAGATGCCCCATGTTTGAGGCATGGAATGGAAAAAAAAAATGGAGCTAATATTGCAACACCAACAGGTTTAAGAGCAAGAGCCACAGAGGCCACACATAGGAGGTATAAGCAAGGGACCAAAACATGAACAAAAGCCAAAGGGATGCCACCTGCCTACCTGAGAGTTGGTTAAAAGCCAAGTGATGCTAGTAGCAGCATCACTGATGCAGGATGAGGGCCTTAGAGCCATGTAATATAAGTACGGATGAGACTCAGAACTATATATTCTATTACGATACAAGAGCCTTTTATCTTTCCACTCAAGCAAAGTTTAATCCAAGATACGTGCCCTGCAGATTACAGCTCAGCAACCCAGAGAACCTCCTACTGGAAGGCTGTCAATGCAGGATGTGTTCAGGACAAAAGGGTCATGGACAATTAGCTCTTAACTAAAAATTACCAACCAGTGAAGACCAATACCATGAAAAATAGGACACATATCAACCAACAAAATGTATACCTGAGGAAATAGAGTTAATAAAACAATCTGAAAAGAACTTTAAAAATAAGTGCTCTGTATTTTATACCCTCAAATATAAAAAGAAGCCATGAAACAAGAATACACTGCCATCAATTAAACAGAAAGTAACAGCCAAAAACCCTATTAGAAATCTTAGAAATTGAAGATACAGTGTTTGAAATGAAAACCCTATGGATGGTAGATTAGACACTGTAAAAGAGCATATTTAAAAGAAAAAGTAGTACTTGAATGTCCATAGAAGCATGATTCATAGTAGGAAAAAGTGGAAACAACCCAAATGTCCAACAAATGATGAACAGATTAACAAAATATGGAATATTATTCAGCCAGATAAAGGAATGAAGTACTGTTACATGCTACATACTAACATAAATGAATCTTGGAAACATTATGCTTAGTGAAAGAAGCCAGACACAAAAGGCCACATAGTGTATTATTTTGTTTATATGAAATGTCTAGAACAGGCAAATCCATAAAGACAGAAAGTAGATTAGTGTTTGCCAAAGGACAGGGGGTAGGGGTAAGGGGAGTGACTGCTAATGGGTACAGGGTTTCTTTTGCGGGTGATGAAAATGTAATGTTATAAATAGTGATGATAGTTGTACAACTTTGTGAATATACTTAAAACCACTGAATTATATGCTTTAAAATGGTATATTTTATGACATGTGAATTATATATCAATTAAAAGAAGGAAAAGATAAAAGACATTAAGAACAGATTTCTAAAAGACAAAAACACTTATAAAAATTCATAATAAAGAATGACTGAGCCACACAGCTAAACACGTCACAATGAAACCCAGAATAACAAGGACAAAGAGAAAACCCTAAAAGCTACAAAAGAGAATCAAATTAGCCAAAAGAAACATGAGTTAGACTTCTCATCAACAATGCTAGATGCCAGAGGATAACTGAGTACTATCTTCAAAGATCTGAAGAAAATTCACTTTGTCTCTGGACTTTTAAGAGAACCAAACTACCATTAAAGAATGAGAAACTTAATATGTTTATATTCCTTAAGGCCTTGCTGAAAGAACTACTAAATAAACCAGCATGATCTTTGAAAATGAGTTTACATTTGCACCTTTTTGCTGAGATGGGGTGGAGATAAGGGGGAAAGAATGATATAATATCAATATCAAACTACTTATTGACATAGCTCTTCAACTGTTAAAGAAAAAGTAGATAGAAAAATTTCAATCTTGTGGCAATGTGAACATACATCAAAACCATATATTGGGACTTCTCCTTTTTGCAGTGATGAAATAACTGGTACCAAATAAGCCCTCCCACCAAAAGCTACTATAAAACTGGATAAAATATACTAGGCAATTGTTTTCAGGCATTGAGCAATAAATAGCACAAGCTGTGATCCTTGAGAGAAGGGAAACTCATGACATGACCCCTATGATTGCCCTGGATGTCTGCCTGGGGAAATTTTCCTGCCCATGGAGGACAGAGCTGGAGCCCAAGCAGAGCACAGTGGTTCCATTAAGCTGAGGAGACAGAGAATAGAGCTCAGGGTTGTGAAAGTACCTGGAATCTGCAAGGCAGGGCACTGGAGAGGAGGGAACTGTGCAGAAGTGGGTACCAAAAGTCTGTATGGAAGCTCCCCATGAGCCTTTGGCCAAGGGCTGGGCTACGCATACAGCGGTGAGACTATATAAGATTTCCCAGAGAGCAGTTGCAATGGAGTTGAAAATGGAACAAGAAATTAGTGGTGAAGCAATGGTGGGAAATGTTGGCCTTCAGGCCCAGCCAGAATGGAGAGAACTTGATAAAACTGATGGTGTCCAGCTGAGATGGCAAAAAGGTAATATTTTAGTAGTAAAAAACACATTCAAGAAGAAGGTCTGATCCACCCTAAAAAAGCTTAAAACCAAGTCTCAACAAGATTCACAGAGAAGATACAGTTGGAGGTTATGTGGTATCAAGTTAGAGGGGTTTGAAAATGACTTGGCTTTCTATAGATCTACCCTTTAAAATGTATTTTAAAAGCCTACACAAGGTTAGGGTGATTAGCTTGCTAGAACTGCCTGCTAGAACAAAAATCAACACTCTTCAGAGGTAGAACAGAATATAGATCACATTATCCAGTAGAAAATAAATACTTAATAGACATGCAAAGAAAAAGGAAAATATAACTCATATAAAAAAGCAATCAATAAAAACCAAGCCTGTTACAGATGTTAAAATATTCACTGCAGAGGAATCTGGGTGGACAGTATATAAGAACTCTGTGTACTGTTTTTACAACTCTTCTATAAATCAAAAATTATTTTTCAAATTAAAAATATAAATACTCTGCAAAAGGATGAAACTAGAACACTATCCTACACCATACACAAAAATTAACTCAAAATAGATTAAAAACTTGACTATAAGACCTGAAACCATAAAACTCCTAGAAGAAAACATAAGTGGTAACCTCCTTGACATGGGGTTTGGCGATGATATTTTTAACTTGACACTGAAAGCAAAGGCAACAAAAGTAAAAATAAATAAGTGGAACCTACATCAAACTAAAAAGCTTCTTCACAGCAAATGAAACCATCAACAAAATGAAAAGGAAGAAAAAATCTGCAAATCATATATCTGGTAAGGAGCTAATAACCAAAAAATATAAAGAAATCATACAACTCAATAGCAAACAAACAACCCAATTAAAAATTAGGCAGAGGATCT